GGACTCGCCTCTTCCAACTCGAGTTCAATATGGGACCGAGAGGAAGAGGCGGGGCCAGTCGTCACGTGACGCGCTTACCGCGCGCCGCCGGCTTGGGGGAGGAGCGATTGAGAAAAGGGGCGGGGCCAAGCGGGAGAGAACGGGGACGGGACGAGTGGATTGGTGGGTGGAGGGGCGAGGGCGGAGGCTCGGCGGGCCGCGGGAGCGCGCGCGTCTCGCCAACTTCCAATGCCGCGCTTCCTTTGCCGCTGTTCGCGCCTGGGCGGCTGCTGTTTCGTCATCCTGAGCTCGACCAATGGCAGGAGCCCACGTCGGGAGAACGCCGCGTGACCGGGCGTCACCGGAGAGAAAGGCCTTTCCCTTTCTTCTCGCGCCCTTTCCCCTCCCCCACGCAGGCCTGTAGGTCTCCATTTGCGAATTCACTCCACTCCCGCAAGAAAACCTCACTTTCTTATCTTGCAATCGAAGGTCGTGCAAATGCCTTCTCGGATGCCCCCCTTCCCTAGTGCCAGACCCCAGTGTCTGCGATCGGCGACGCCCACCCGAGAGGGCCCGCGCCGAGAATCCCTGCGACACCGAGGGCAGGCAGGAGGCCGGGCCGGGGACGGGCCCCAGCGCGTCCGATCGAGCTTCCCCTTCACGCCACTGGCGGGACGGGTGCAGCTCACCAAGTGCGCAGGGATCTCAGAACCCGAAGCTCTGCTTAGGGAGTGCAAAGCTCAAGCATCTGTTCCAGGGGAGATTTTAGGGAATCCGAATGATTTAAAACATTTAAAAGGCACAGTCGCCAACTAGGGTACCCATTCCCCAGTGATTTTTACCTTGATGTCCCCTTTATTCGAATTCTGTTGTGAGGTAGAATGAATAAGATGAATTAAGTTCACAAAGCTAGAAATGTAATCTTGCATAGTCAAGGAGTTTTGAAGATTTTTTTTGAGACAGGGTCTCTCTTTGTTTATTTTTTTCAAAATTTTTTTTTTGAGACAGGGTCTCTCTATGCAGTTCAGGCCGGCCTTGAACATGTGGAGCCCAGGCAGGCCTCACATTCATGGTGATCCTCCTGGTTCAGCCTCCCAAGTGCTGAGATTACAGGCATGGGCCGCCATGCCCAGCATGGAGTTTTAAAGTGTTTAATCCTATTGTGCTTTAGGTTGTTTTGTTTCAGTGAAAATGGAGATAGGATTAGGTGACTTCCCAAAATCTGTGACAGCCATAAATTAATCTATGGATTTATACTGAAGCAAAGTTACTGGTAAAAAGACAATTGCCATGCCTTTCTGCCTTTCTAGAAAATGCTTTGTATTAATTTAACAGTGCATGTGACCAACTCCTTTCTAGTTGATTGAGTCCTTCCTTGGAAAGATTAGAAATCTGCGCTGGGCTTACTGGCACACACCTGTAATCCCAGCACTCGGGAGCTGAGGCAGGAGGATCATTGCAAGTTCGAGACCACCCTGGGCTACAAAGTGAGCTCAAGGCCAGCCAGAACTGCATAGCCAGACCCTGTTTCAAAAAGACAAAAAAAAAAAAAAAGTTAGAAATCTGACCAGGTATATTGTAACTTGTTTGAAAATTTAAATGGGGGAGTGGTCACCTTCGAGTTTGGAAAAGGGCCAGAACTAGAGTAAGAATTTATTGATGTTTCTTATTTCATAAGGGCAATCCTTGTATTTGTTAAGGGTGAACATAAGGTACTGTGTGGTAGGACAAAGCCCAGTTGCCAGGTTTTAAAGTAACTTGGATGCAGTAACCCCCCAAATAGCTTCCATCTGCTGCTGTGCTTCCAGTATCACTGATAAGGAAGAATACAACTCCTGACTCAACTGCGTGGTTTGTGGCTTCACAACATGGAGGAATGAAGATTCAAACCGAAAATGGGAAGGTAGGAGACTTTCATTGGAAGTAAGGAGAAGACTAGCTCCTAGATTTCCAGGTGGGCTCCAGAGGCTCTCTCTCAGGGGAATTTACACAGCAAAATCACGACATAGGCACAACTGGGCCCCCCTACAGTCAGCCTCTAGGAGCCAAGTATGGTCGCTTAGCTAACACTGATCCAATTGAGAAACGAGTCATGAAGCAAGGGTATGTGGAAAGAGTACAGATAGGAAGAGAAGTATCCATCCAGGTGTTTTGATTGCCCACCTATGTCTCTGATGCCTAGCTAGGCCCACTGAACCAGGTGGAGCTAATTGCAGCATAGTCTCAAATTGCTACTTATCGCCCAGGCCTGGCTATTGAGTCTCCATCCTGAGGCCAGGCTTTTCAGATTTACCTCTAGCCACAATTCTGATGTCTTTTTGAGCTGACTTCCTGGAGGGCACCAATCCCTTTCAAAATTGAATATTAATATTTTTAAAAGTGGGTGTGGTGGCACATACCTGTGATCCCAGCACTCAGGAGGTTGAGGCAAGAGGATTACCTGGAGTTCAAGGCCAGGCTGGGCTACATGGTGAGTTTAAGGGCAGCCTTAACTACAGAATGAGACCATCTCAAAAAAACAAAAGAGTTGGGCGTGGTGGCACATGCCTGTAATTCCAGCACTCCAGAGGCTGAGACAGGAGGATCCTTGCAAGTTCAAGGCCAGCCTGGGCTACAAAGTGAGCTCAAGGCCAGCCTGAACTGCACAGAGACCCTGTCTCAAAAAGACAAAAGAAAAAGAATTCCTGTTCCAATTCTTGACCCTGTGGGACACAGGCTTGAACCTTGAGTCCTGACTGCTATCCACCCTTGTGGTTCTAACTCTCTGAAGTGAGAGAGTATGAGAATTGGGAATGGGGGTCTGTGTTGGGATGGCGGCTTTATAATCTATTTATTTCAGGCCCTGTCAACATTTTTCATATCATGATGTATGGAAAATGACAATTTTGTATGCCACATTAAGTTCACCTAGAAGAGATTTGGAGCCATCTGGATGATAGTTGTTTAAAAATATTCATAACACTGGGCGTGGTGGCGCACGCCTGTAATCCCAGCACTCAGGAGGCTGAGGCAGGAGGATCATTGTAAGTTCAAGACCAGCCT